TGTTTGTCATAAGGTTCGGATCAGCGAAACTTGTCATTGGAAAGATTTGCACGCCGGGAAATGACGGTAAGGGAAAGTATTGCTCGCTCTCTGAAGTCAGTTCGGGAGATCCTGATGTAAAGAATAAAGAACACTAGCTTGAAATAGCGCTTCAGTTTTTGGGAAGGCTTACAATCTTTGCTTTTTATGACATTCCACCAGTGTTGTGCACGAACTAACCTATTTTACGATGGACTTGTTCATTGGAGTGGCCATCAGAATTCGCTGTGGATGAATGCGATTTTGTTTCAGGGAAATACGACAATGCACCATCGAGGTCATACTCAAGATCTTTTAATGAAAGGTTGGTGAAATCTCGCGCTGCGTCTTTGAGTGGAGATGTTTGTCTTGATGGAAAGCCATGCGTGCTATCGTGTGAAATATTTCCAGTGGAAGTGTTCAACCATTCCGGGTGGTTATTAATCGTTGCATTGTCGAACAATCTTGGCAAAAAATGCAAAGAAACGACTTTAGTTGGAATTGCTACAACACCATCTCTAGACCGATGGAGCTTCGAGTTTAACATCGACTATACAATGAAATTCTACATAAGTTCTTCAAGATCTTAACAACCTTTCTTGATCTTTAGTTTCACTCTTAAGAAACGACTCTTGTGAAGTTTGAAGGTGCATTTGCATGTATGAGATATCTCGTTGCTGTCGTTCACATATCTGATACGAAATAGATTTAAAAAAGCAGAAGTGAGTGAGTGGTTGATGTAATCCGTGAGTTTCAGTGCCACTTGGAAACGTTTGGGGTTCGTACTTGTCTTAAATGTTTAAGTTCAGAGTCACTTCGTTCTTGTTTGGATTTCTGCAGTTCCAGCAATTGATCCTTCCGTTTTTCACGTTCACCTAAACAAGAAAAGAGAAAGAATTAGCGTTAACTTACTATAGAATGACGCATTTGTCATTTACCTACAATTAAGAACTAAAGTACTCTTTCTACCTGAGATAAATACTTCTTTTTGTAACACAAGAACTTCTTGTTTGGACTGAAACGTATAAGAAGGTTGTTAGTCCAACGAAACATGCGCGTTTTAGACTGACTCGAGCTGTTTGGTTTTTGCTATGAAGATTGAAGAATCAGTTTCCAGGTTACCTGAGCCAACTCTGACTGCAAGTCATCAGCATCACTAAACTGCTTACTCATTTCACCTAAATAAATTCAAGGGAATGTCATTTGTAGAAGAAAACCTGTTCAATAATCTACATTTCTTTATTAACTCCAAGGCGGCTGATTATTACAAAATAGACGAAGAACCTCGCAAGTTTTCAACTTCATGTTTTGTTGCGTTCAGTTGATCCCTGAACTGATCTCTTTCTGCTTTCATGATTTTCTCATGTGTCTGGCATTCCTGCAAGAAAAAGCTCAGAAACTTCAATCATAACTCTCCTCGCTGATTTCCAACTGTTCCCATGCAACGAACCTGAACGGCGTTCTCAAGTCTTCTCGTTTTCTGTTGAAATTCTCCTATACGAATGTTGGCTTCAGTGATGTCGTTTTCCTGTGAGATGATGTCGAATTACTAAGGTCGGTACTGGGTTTAAAATCAAGGGTGGGCTGTACGAATGAATATAGCGCTATGAAAAAATCACCATCCGGTGAATAGCGCTATCCAGCTTTCTTTCAACCGCCCAAATGTACAACATTTACGATACCTTTAATTTAATTTTAGTCAGAAGCTCCTGTTCTCTAGCTTGCAGTTGTCCAAGATTATTTGAAAGTTCTCGCAAGGAATCGCTCAGGTTTGTGTTTTTATCCTGAAGAATATCACACTACTGATTAGTTTAGTTTAGGTTTCCTCCTGTAGTAACACTGGATCAATAAGAGATGATCCTTACTGCACCTCTAGGAAGAACAGTTTAGAACTGATAGAACTATTCAGTATAAATAAAGTTAGTTTAGTTCCAGGACACCTCTAAATCTTGAAGTTTTTCAGTAGCAAATTCAGCTTCCTCTGTGACTTCCTTCAGTCGCTCCTAGACAAATATATTCAAACTTGGATTATTTTATTGAACTTTAAAAGGTTCACCACAAGTGGACAGGACAGATCTTACCACAGTCGCCTCTAACTCTTTTCGCTTGTTTGTCTCATCAGTTTCTGACGATTTCAACCTAACATGTGAAAATGCAAATGTTCTGTTAACCATTGATGTATAATCTTTCTTAGAGATGACAAGATCTGGTTGGTTACCTCGCAGTCAATGCTTTGCATTGCTCATTTCTGGACTTTAACTCTCCTAGAAAAATAAAATGAAGAAGAATTAATGAGCGATACTTGATGAAATCTACTTGATGAGTTCCTAGGATGAATTACCTTCCAGTCTCGCACATCTTCTTTCCAATGCAAGAATCTAAGATCCAGAAAATACTTATGTCAGTTGAAATGAAAGATTTTGACACTTTGAAGTTTAAAGATCATTACCCGCTGTCTGTCTTCATCCCAGGACTGGAGATGCTTTTGATGCATTTGTACCATATCATTGAGCTCTCTAAATAAGTTAAAGGAATAAGTTCAAGGTGCTAACCAAATTATGACAATTCAATGGTCGGTGAGGTGACTAGTGTACTTGTCTCTGTCTTTCAACTCTACAATAAGAAGCTGAAGTTCTCTACGCTGTTTTTGAACAGTGTCTGTATCCAAGTCTAACAGCTAAAAAGAGAAGAAAAGGGAAATCATTTTCTGGTGCAAAACAAAATTTGGTGCAAAGATGATCTCTTTCAAACCTGTCTTGGGGAAGTTGATGTCCCATGATGCAATTGAGTCGGAGTTACTGAGCTTGTTTGCAAAGGACTGGCTGATCTCCTGCCAACACTGGATGGTGATCGGCTTGCAGATGATGGTGATCGCGTCATTGAACCATTCATCAGTGACACTGGACTTGACAGTGAACTCTGGTGGTTGGAATGAGTTGTATAAATAAAGATGAAGTAGATCATGGTTTGTCATGGGTGGGATAGGATTTTATGGATTGAGAGAAAATTCTGAGTGAGTGAAAGTTGTCTTCCTTACCTTTACTTTTGGAGTGCTTTGGTAATATGATGTTGGTTGATAAGATGAGGTCACTCCAGAGTGTGGTTGATCTGGATGTGGGAGATGGTTTTAAACCAACATAATTATAGAAATGCATAATGGTTGGATCTATTATCTTAACATTTTAAGACCTACAGAGGAACCTATTCAGGTGGATGGGATTATCACAGATAATCTCATAATCTTTTGACCTGGCCCAACCCTGATCACCTCCAGATCACAATGTCTCAACAAAAAATCGTAAACTCCAATGCTTTGAATTAACATTGCACACAAAAAAAAACAACTTGTCAGCATCTCATTTACATTATGGGCATTTGTTTGCATTTAATCTCCAAATATTTTTGCGGAATTTGAGATATGTACCACAAACATCGCTCTCAGTTCACCCTCAATAGCTGAAACAGCTCAGAAATGACAATATAAGCAACTCTCCTTATTCTATAGTAATTCACTCTTCTATTATAACGTTTTAAGTAAGAACGCACCGCGTTTTCGGCCTGAAATGTCAAAACTCTTCCCAGAAAGGACGCCGTTGTATTTACCGCCTTCCATGACCCGATTCCAAATTGGGACAGAAATTGATCTTTTTACCTCTACAATATATTTTCAAGGTTTTAGCTTGACCGGTGAATAAAAGCCGGCAGATATCGTTGATTGATATAGTAAAGTGATGGTTTCTACGAGGAAAATCAGCAATATTTCATAACATAAACAAAGAATTATCAATTCACTGGACAACAAATGTTTACAAAGTTGTTTGGCGCCGAATTTTTTTCCTACTGTACAGATAACCCAGGCGCGGCTCTTATCATTAGTTTTATCAATTTTACGTCTATTTTTGGACTGTTTTCAAAACATATTGTAAAACTATAGTCCATTAGGCGAGAAAATGATAAGATTATAGTTCTAATCAATTTAAAACTGTCTAGAAATGCTCAAAATACCTTCAAATATTCGTTAAAACTATTATTTATTCGATTCCTTAGCAGGAAAATGCGCTTGATTAAAGTGGAAACAAATGAGAGAGGGAGCTCTAGGAGATTGGAAACTAATTTTTTTTGTAAAGAGTTCTTTTGAAGAGAAAGAAAGAAAGATTTAAAATTATTTTTTGTTTTATAAATATTGTTCATTCTCACTGGAAGATGGAGAAAAACGGACAAGGTATGCTGTTTAATATGACAGAGCTTCTATCAGATTCATATGCCATTGTTTTTGTATGATTTCAAAGATGAAAATGGCAAAATGCACACTTACTTTATGGGCCAATCTTGGTGAGACGTGGTGACCCCTTAAAAAGTTTATCACTTTTACTAAGAGCAACCAAGCTAGACTACATGTCTGTGAAGTCTGCGAATTGGAATGAAGCTGTTGATCACCAGACGTAGAACACTATTTAAATGTTTTTTAGGTCAAAATGTTCAGGTTCCTGTTGTTAGACCAGATCAAGCTAAATCAAAACCTAAGATTGCTCATCAACCAATCCCCTCATCGCGTTATAATGAACTGCTTCGGGTGATTGAGGAATTGGGAAAAGATGTCAAACCAAGTTACGCTGGGAGCAAGAATGCCGGCGAACGATTAAGAAAGGGGATACTTCATGCAAGAGCATTAGTTCGAGATTGTCTTCTGGAGACGGAACGAAATGCAAGGAAATAAGTCAGGAAGCATTCACAGCCTAATGGATGAAGCAGGGATGAAGCTGTGATGGCTGAAACCTGCCTTAAAAATAGGTCAAAGAACATAACAAACTAAAGCATTTCATTGGTCCATCTTTTATTATCAGTATAAGATAAATGTGCTTCATTGATCTGTGTTTGAACTATATGGAAATGATCATAAGAATAATGCTGTTTTAAGCATTACCCTGGTAGTTCAGACACAATTGATGGCAGTTTATTATATTTACAATACTGGAAACCAACTTTGTACATAAAATTATAATGTTATTTACAGAATAAACAAATATTAATTATTATCTTCTGAGCCTTTATCAAGTTCCAAAAGCTTGTTTTTGATGTTTCGTTTCCTGACATAATCTGCTTTCCGTTTCCGTATTTTTTCCCAGTTCTTTGCAATTTTACTCTCTTTTCCATTGTAAAAGTAATCTAGTTTTTCACAGAGTAAATCTCGAGCAAGTGTTCTATTTCTCTCTAAATATCTTGTTTGATGACACTAAAATAAAAAGAGACTCACAGTTATGTAATTAAGTATCGAAACTTCATTCAAAACCAGTACAGAATAGCAAAGCTTGATAATGAATGAATGTTAGAAGTCCATGTATTTTTAGGTACAAACCTTGACAGTTATTCCAGTCGGTATATGCTTTAGTTCAACACAATTGCTAGTTTTATTCACCTTCTGTCCACCTTTCCCAAATCCTTTTACAAATTTTTCTTCTAATTCAGATTCACACAGAACCACCTCTTGAATTTGCTTACAGAATTTAACAGTAGACAACCTTAAACACGTTCTAGTATTTTGTAAAATGCCTTGAATATATGGAGCTTTTGTACACAGGAGAAGTTCTGTTAAAATCCTAGACATTTGGTATGATTTTTCAACAGAATCTGAGAATTATATGAACTGATATTGAATATGATCACATTAGACCATGATTATCTATAGATTAAGTTACGATTGGGATGGATTAGGGTAAAACTTGGATTTAAAGCTTGAGATTATATGATGGATTTGTTGGATACTCCCAGAGTGTCAAAGCAGCTGCGTGAAAAATAGGCAGGCTGAGGCGAATAATGACATCATCATAGTTCATTGATCCACGCCCCCTCCCGTACCTGCAATGGTGGACCAGCTTAGCTTGAAGCTTTTTGCGTTGAAGGAGTGTCAAATTTTATGATTTTCACTGTCTATGCTTGAGCTATCATCGGCGTGGATTTCTAGTGCATTGTTTCTGATCTAAGCTACGATTCTACATCTTGTTTGCCGAGCTAAGGTACACCAGTTTGCGATATAAGTGCAAAGTTTTGAGCAAAGTAAAGTGTACTCTACTGTTTGACAGTCTTCAGGTATAAATTTTGCTTCGTCGCTGTTTCAATTGGGTCTTTTCAACTGGATTCCAAATTACAGATTGTTTTTAAACTCACGATTGTGTGGGGTTTATTATTTTGGCTAAAGTTTACAAAGGGTTTCATCGTTGTTTGCAGATCAAACATTGTTTGTGAAATATGAAAGAAAACGGTGTATCAGGTCCAAGCAGTCTGGTGTATATCCACTTGAAAGAATCGTATCCAAAGAAGGAACTTGTTTTTGGTTGGTAACCTTAAATGTGTCCTTCACTATCGTAGCTTTGTTTTTCAGTTCAAATCTGTGCAATCACTTGATTACACGTAGGCTTCTCACTGCATTAAAAGTTACATGATCCATACAAAAACGAAACCGAAAATAATTATTGCATATTTATGCGAAATTGTATTTATTCTGTGGTATCGATTTACTTATATTTTGGTTCAAAATAGCCTTTTGTAAGAGATTGCATCTTTAGACCTGTTGGGGAAACTGCATTCTTCGTAGGGATATCGTACTAAAAGAATTTACGTGTTTTCAAACTATTTAACCTCAAATTCTGTCGAGTTTCAAATTTCGTTTCTCTTCCGGCGTCACGTTGTTCATGTTTGTACAAGAATCTGAAAATAGCTAAGAATAGCAAACAGTTTATTGCTTATCAAAATCATGCTTAATGATTGCTGTTTGCCACTTCTGATTGTGATTAAACTTGTAGAAATGGCAATTTGCCCAAAAAGTTCTGTTTGTTTACCCTATACGACCCAGTTGTTTCCTTTTAAATCCGCGTTTGGCAAAATGCCACGAATACTTGTTAAGATTTACAATTGTTCTAGTGTACAATAGCCATAAAATATTTGCATTCACCAGTATATATTGTCCATTTTTTGTCTTGAATTTTAAAGAGACACAATAAAAATGAGAGCAATTTTATGACCCAGGTTTGGGTTATTTTAATATGAAGATTGAGAAGTAACATAAAGTGTGTCTGTTTTAGTAGATTACCCTGCTTCTGAGGATATGTATTCACCCTAGCATAGGATAAATAACACAAGCAATTTATAGCAAATCCTTGAATAACCACTTGGTAACCCTAAATTCAGTCCAGCCCTCAAAATAGCAAGTCACATTTTACTTCCTATTCACCCAATGTGCTGATTGTTCTTTATAGTTACACATAAACTTCTTAGTATCTTAATTTGTATTTACAATTCAAGGCAGTTGTTTCGAAAATGATAATTTGTTTTTGCTTCATAGACGATCCAAGTCTTTCAGTCCCATTTCCTGAGTTGGATGGTGAATATGTTGAATTCCTTGGAAAATGCTCCGACTCAGTCTTTGCCATTTCAAATTTCCGTTTTTTTGCCGCGTTTCAACACTCATTTGTAAATGTAAGTGGACTGACTGCTTTGGATTCTGATACAAACATTATTTCGAAAATTAACTCTAAACAAATTAACTAGTGCTCTTGAGGGAGACCTAGCTCAGAAAGGCTTGGTCATGTTTATGTTTAAGATTGTTTACACCAGTCATGTTTACAGGTGGAATTTTTAATTTGCAAACATAAACAAAGTCTGGAGTTAATGTAATAATGTTCTGCAAACAAATAAGGATGCATGTTGCTTTGTTGAGAAATATCATTTCTAAGCTGGCATTAACCATTAACTCACCGAATTACATAAATTAAAAATGGATGTTTGCGATTTTAAAGTTGAAAGTTTAATTGCCTTTATTTTCACATTTGATTAGTCAACACCCTTTTTAATTAGGAGAACATGTCATCTGGACATTTAAATGTAATCAAATTAAATGTAATTTATACAGGACAAAATAAATATAAACAAAAAATTGTTTTGCTTTTCCCAGTTAAGAAACACTCATTGAATGCCAAATTAGGTTGTTCATAAATTATGCATCTTAAGACAGAGGTTTGCCATCTCTTGGAGTGTTCTCTGCTATTGCATGTTTATGGTAATATATACTCAAGTGATAAATTGTGTGCAATTTGTTTGCAGGTCCCATTGATGTTGATTGAGAGTTTGGAATGGAAAGGAAAAGAATGCCCAGAAATATTCATTTGTTGTAAAAATGGACAATCTTTTCAGTGTGTGCAAGATCCTATTAGTTCTAAGTTATCCAGATGAAATTTCTTTACTACCTGTGATTGACATCAACATCTTATAGGTTAGCACTGATGACAATAAAATAATTCCTTTCAGGTTAATGTTTGATAATGCTGAAGAGGGTGACAAGTGGTATAATAGGCTGAGGAAAAAGTGTGGAACTGATACAAATTGCCTGAAAAAACTGTTTGCTTTCACCCATTACGCTTGGTGTGAGGATACGCCTCCTGATAGCCCTTGTAATGATGGGGACTTGACGTGCCTTCTATCTCGAGGTAATTGAAGCTGTATTATACAGTATTTTTCTATCTCATAACTGAAGATTAAGAGGAAACTGCAGGTAAAGAGAAAGCAGCTTAAATTGGTTTTCATTCATTACCAGACACGTTGAACCGTGACTTTCTGCATGAGTACAAGAGAATGGGCTTCGAAAAGGATCCGGCTTGGAAGATCACTGAGATCAACTCAAAGTTTAAGTAAGTTGATCTAATCTTGATTCTACTCTGTTCTGCTTTGATCAAAGAAGCTTTTCCTGACTAGACCATGCAGTTGTATGACAGAGGGAGGTCCATCTGTATTTTCAGGCTCTGTTCTTCTTATCCCAAGTTGCACATTGTGCCTGGTAATATCACAGATGAAAAATTGGAAAAAATTGCAAAGTTTAGGTCAAGTAACAGATTCCCTTCGGCTGTTTGGAGGTAGGATAGTGCCTTATAAACTGTCAGTGCTCTTCTCGTATTATCCTCCGCACTTGAAAGAATAGTACTTGTAGCTGTCCTTGAATGTATCAGCTCTAGCTTGCAAATGGATCTTCAAACATGTATTTTGTAACTTAGTTGTGGCGTTTTTTTAAACCCAGGCACAGTGAAAATGGTTCAGTCATAGTGCGGTGTAGCCAACCCGAAGTTGGAATGTTATATTGGCGTTGTGCTGAAGATGAATATTATCTTAAAACTTTGGGAAGCGTTCCTGACTCAGCTGCTTCGAAGCCAGTCCAGAATGGCAAGAATGACAGTCTCTCAGACACATCTTGTTCCTCTAACGATGATGATTCAGACACTTCGCATACGAACGGTTATTCAGGTAGGTCAGGTTGATTAGCACGATAGGTTGATACATGTGTCTAGTACCATCAAATTCCAGCAATATTCGGTTATCCAGTTACGGTACATGAGATCTCCTTTACTGGAAGTGTTTGCAGAACAATATCAAAATAGTGAAACTAAATCCAGTTGTTCCAGAAAGATATAACTCGCTTTCTGTTCTACCTAGACAATTTAAACAAGAAATCATCGTGTAATGGAGTTGACAAGAAAGTCCTGGTTGTCGACTGTCGATCGTACGCAGCGGCCTTTGGTAATCGTGTTAAAGGTGGCGGAAGCGAGTGTACAGGTATGTCCTTCGTTTTGGCACCGAGATTTGTAGCATTGGTCACGTATTTTGAGAAACTTCAATAGCCTAGTTAGGCATGCGCAAAGGCGTCTATTTTTACACATGATGTTTCTTTTTCAGAGTATTATCCGAATTGTAAAATCCAGTTCATGGGACTAGCAAATATTCACACAATTCGCAAGAGTTTTCAATCATTGCGGGATATTTGTTGTAAGCAAGAGGAACAGACTGGGTAAGCGCGTTTCTTTGCCGCATTTCAAGGATTTTTTGCCTTCGGATTGTTCTTATAAGATGTTTTTTTCCTGCTCAGTTGGTTAGCAGCATTGGAAGCAACGAAATGGCTTTCTCATATCTCAGCGTTGATCAAAACAGCGTTGTTGGTCGTGAAGGCAATTGAACAGGAAAAACAACACGTTGTTGTTCATTGCAGCGATGGCTGGGATAGAACACCCCAGGTTGTCGCGCTGGCTGAGTTGCTTTTAGATCCATATTATAGAACAATAAAGGTTAGTTTCACTTCTTCATCTATTTCATTGACGTCCAGAGAGTCAGACGTTCTCCCTTGCAGTTGAACGAACCCTCAAACGGTTACCGCCTAATTGACTTTTTTTCTGGGTGCTCTTCTTCTCATAGGATGAGTAGTAATGATAACTAACTGCGCTAAAAAACTCTCCCTTTGTCTTTGAACTTTTCCCCAGGGGTTTCGCGTGTTACTTGAACGTGAATGGCTGGCGTTCGGTCACAAGTTTGCAGACCGCTGCGGTCATGGTTTCCATGACGATGACGTGAATGAGCGATGTCCTGTGTTTCTGCAGTTCCTGGATTGTGTTCATCAGTTATTGAGACAGTTCCCGTGTTCTTTTGAGTTCAACGAAACGTTCTTGGTATGAGAATAACTTATTGATATCGCAGGCGGTTGATCTCGTTAGTTGACAAACGCGCACGCTAGTTGGGAAACAGGCACGCTAGTTGGAAAGCAGGCACGCTAGTTGGCAAACAGGCACGCTAGTTGACAAACAGGCACGCTAGTTGGCAAACAGGCACGCTAGTTGGCAAACAGGCACGCAAGTTGGCAAACAGGCACGCAAGTTGGCAAACAGGCACGCTAGTTGACAAACAGGCACGCAAGTTGGCAAACAGGCACGCTAGTTGGCAAACAGGCACGCTAGTTGGCAAACAGGCACGCTAGTTGACAAACAGGCACGCTAGTTGGATTGGAAAGCAGGCACGCTAGTTGACAAACAGGCACGCTAGTTGACAAACAGGCACGCTAGTTGGATTGGAAAGCAGGCACGCTAGTTGGCAAACAGGCACGCTAGTTGGCAAAGAGGCACGCTAGTTGGCAAACAGGCACGCTAGTTGGCAAACAGGCACGCTAGTTGGCAAACAGGCACGCTAGTTGGCAAAGAGGCACGCTAGTTGGCAAAGAGGCACGCTAGTTGGCAAAGAGGCACGCTAGTTGGCAAACAGGCACGCTAGTTGGATTGGAAAGCAGGCACGCTAGTTGGCAAACAGGCACGCTAGTTGGCAAACAGGCACGCTAGTTGGCAAAGAGGCACGCTAGTTGGCAAACAGGCACGCTAGTTGGATTAGAAAGCAGGCACGCTAGTTGGCAAAGTACGAACATTCCCTTAGAGACTGTTTCCTTTATTCCAGGTGAAACTGGCTCACTATACATACTCCTGTCTCTATGGTACCTTCCTTTGTAACACGGAACAAGAGCGTCTCGCAGCAAACATCCGGTACAGCACCTGTTCGGCTTGGTCCATGTTGGAATCTCAGTCAAGGAACTGTAGAAATTTTCTATATTCTCCGCAGGAGAAAAAGGTGAGATATTCGCTGTTTTGGGTTGCTCCACATAACAGGAGACAAACATAACCATGCATGTTAATAAAATAAAACTTTAAAATCGAGAGATCGAGGTCTTTAAACTTTCCTCAAGTTTACTTTTGGCTGTTTCAGCTTGTCTGGGCGAACATTGACATTTTTGAAGCCGAAATGATTTTAAGGGGAAAAAGTTTTATTTTCATTTATTTCAGGTTTTGTATCCAGAATATCAAGTTCGTAATATTATGTTGTGGTCTTCTCTGTATTGCTCAAATCCTGTCATATTTTTTGATAACCCAACCGCGTTAAACTCAAGTGACGTTGCTCTAAATAACGACCAAGAGTTTCATTACGACGATGTAAGAACCGAGCCCGAGATTCGCCCGAACGTTGCTCGACGGAACTCCGACGGAGATGTAAAAGTTTCGAGCGCGGACGGAAGTCTCGTGGCAGGTTCGGCAGCCCGAGATGATACCGAACTTTATCTCACGAAATCTCTGGTCTGTAAATCTGAGTCCATGGTGAGCCCGGGTTCATCTCAAGGTATCTCGACTGCAAGTCCAGCTAAAGGATCATTAGCTAATGGCGTGGCAGAAAAGTCCATTGAAACTAATACTAGTTGTGGAAATAATGATCACGATGGAGCGCTGGAACCTTGTACAGAAGAAGGTTGTGACAATAGTTCTGTTGATCAAAATATAGCAGTATTTAAGAGTGAGAATATTGCACTTCATCAGGATGGAACGAAGGACAAATTAAATAGTTCTGAATCTGATCAGAAAGGCTTGTCAGAGAAGAATGATCTTGGTGACAGTCTAACCAGTAGTTCAAATACCTTAGTAGATGAATCCACTTCTATTAACGACGAACATATGGTAAACGGTTCCGAAAATGGAAACGATTGTCTGCTGAACGGTTTAGAAACTTCACACAACGCTAAAAAGACTGTATCAAAGGCTATTAATTGTAAATCAAATCATCGCCTGAAGCCTTTCATTGACGGACCTCTGTTATCACAAGACGGGGCAAGTTCTAGCAATATTAGGAAACACTTTTCAGAAGATGGGGGGAGTTTTAATGGCTGCAGAGGCACGCCGCTTTCGCCAAAGGAACGGTCTTATAATAAACTGTGCAAATACATTGACGAGGATGGATTATCATTAGTTGTGGATCCCGTGCAAGCGCGGCTTGTCAAGTTAGAGCGATGTTATCGTGAGAGGATCGAAGGATTGGAAACACAGCTGGAGGCGAGTGGTTGCGTTTGTGGACTTCGTCAAAAAGTTAACAACAAGCAAGATATGGTATGTCAACAAATATTAGATCTCTACTAGACTTCTAGGAAGCACAGTTTAGAACCCGCGAAGGTATCCAGTATAAAGTTAGTTTAGGTTTCCTTCTGTAGTAACACTGGATCAATAAGATATGATCCTTACTGGACCTCTAGGAAGAACAGTTTAGAACTGATAAAACTATTCTTTTGTTTCTTTGTTAGCACTCCATCATTGAGCCGACATATGCTCGTTCAAATTCTCTGTCCAGTAATACCGCTTCGGACACTTGTGGAAGTTGGGAACGAGTTGATGATGCTGATGTCACACATGTATTATGGGTGCCAGACCACCTCGCCGTTAGTTGCAGAGGTTGTGACGAAACATTTACCATCACCAATCGAAAACATCATTGCAGGTATGGTGTAAACCCAAGCTAGCGAGGAGGTGTTGGGAGGAGTGGCAAGGTCTTATTGAAAGCGAGTTCACTTTAGGCTTCCTCCTGTAGTTACACTGGATCAATAAGAGATGATCCTTACTGGATCTCTAGGAAGAACAGTTTAGAACTGATAGAGCTATCCAGTATAAATATAGTTAGTTTAGTTTAGGTTTCCTCCTGTAGTAACACTGAATCAATAAGAGATGATCCTTACTTGACCTCTAGGAAGAACAGTTTAGAACTGATAGAGCTATCCAGTATAAATAAAGTTAGTTTAGTGTAGGTTTCCTCCTGTAGTAACACTGGATCAATTAGAGATGATCCTTACTGGACCTCTAGGAAGAACAGTTTAGAACTGATAGAGCTATCCAGTATAAATAAAGTTAGTTTAGTTTGGGTTTCCTCCTGTAGTAACACTGGATGAATAAACAATAATTGGTTGGATCTTTCCAATCAATTTCTTCTTTACCTATAGAAACTGTGGCAAAGTGTTCTGTAATTCATGCTGTAACGACATGTCTCCGGTGCCTTCCGAACAACTTTACGATCCTGTCCGAGTATGCAAGCCGTGTTTTGGTAAACTTCATGTGAAAAATAACCAGGACATTACTGTGGCAGCCTCGTGAGAAGCCTTTGTGAAGATTTTAGCTGGGATACCTCACAGGTCTTTCAGTTAATTTAAGTCTTCCAGTTGGAGAAAGCTCTTTCAATGTATAACACCCATACAATAAGATATTCCAACTCAAGACAAACGCAAAATTCAGTTTAGGTTTCAACAATTTCATTTAAGAATATGAACCGATATTTTCGTGTAAACTTGCCATAACGAAAACGCACCGTTAAAATTGTTAAATTCAAATACTATCCTTCGATGTTTCACTGAAATATTTACCATATATTATTGTTATCAAAATAACCAGACGTTCCTTGTCTGTGCATCATTGTAGAAGTACTAAGTTATATAAACTTTGAATGAATTTATGTTATTATCATTGAATGTTCCAAACCGTATAACGGAAAGTTTTTAAAATTATTTGTAATAATTATTAAATATGACAGCAAAGCACGCTATTTGTTAATAAATGACGTATATTCGTAATTGTGTTTGACGTTTTGCTTGTAGCTGGTGGGTTTCATCAACTACTTTTTGTTGTTAAGCTCCACAAAAGAGACGTATTCAGGTTCTTCTAAAGAAGAAAGAAGAATTTACTTTTTGCAAAAACCACAAAAATTAGTATTACATGAAGTGTCCGCTCTCGTCAGTTTTGCAAATATGGCTTCCACAGCGGACAAACAGCAACGAATTTTAAATTTTAATGTCGGTGTATTAGGTCATATTGACAGCGGGAAAACATCACTATCGAAAGCTTTAAGTACGACAGCATCCACAGCTTCGTTTGATAAAAATCCTCAGAGCAAAGAACGAGGGATTACCCTTGATCTAGGCTTCAGTTCGTTTGTGGTGCCACTTCCTGTCCACTTGGAATCAGAACCTTATGATGTGCTGCAGTTTACCCTTGTCGATTGTCCTGGTCATGCTTCTTTAATCAAGACTATTATAGGTATGAAATATACCCGGTTACTCGCAAGCAAATCAACAATGCTTTATAATCCTATTAAATCATTATAAGCCATGAAAACTTTATTGAAATGCTGCGAATTTGGTTCAGGTGGAGCTCAGATTATTGATCTCATGATACTGGTAGTTGATATCAACAAAGGGATACAAACACAGACTGCAGAATGTCTTGTAATTGGTCAAATAACATGTGACAAGATGATTGTTGTTCTGAATAAGATCGATCTCATTCCTGAGGAAAAACGTGAACATCAAATTGAAAAAGTATGTCTGTTGATTATTTTCTTACACTTCCAGCTTGCAAAATTTCACTCAGTTTATGTATTTTTATACGCATATTTCAGATGACTAAAAGGCTCTCAAAGACGTTAGAAGCAACAAAATTTGCTGGTTCTCCAATAATTGCAGTTGCAGCAAAACCAGATGCCGCAGCAGAAGGCCAGCCAGAATCCTTGGGTATAAAAGAGATGTCAGAATTACTGACAGCTCAAGCGTACGTCCCTCAGCGAAACAACAGCGGCTCATTCCTGTTCGCAGTAGACCACTGTTTTTCTGTTCGAGGTCAGGGAACAGTTATGACTGGGACAGTTTTACAAGGCATGGTATCTCTGAATGATAACGTCGAAATCCCGTCAATGAAAGTGGTCAAAAAGGTCAAGTCAATGCAGATGTTCAGACAACCAGTTTCAAAAGTAAGCCAAGGTGATCGAGCTGGTATATGCGTGACTCAGTTTGATCCTAAACTGCTTGAGCGAGGTCTTGTTTGCCAACCATCAAGTGTACCAACAATCTTTGCTGGAATTATCCATGTCAAGAAGATCCAATACTTCAAAAGTCAAGTCGCCTCAAAGGCTAAGTTTCATATTACCATAGGGCATGAAACAGTCATGGGTAAAGCTCAATTCTTTGGGCTACCTGTTTTGGTAGACACACCACCTGTTGGAGAGGATTTTGACTTTTCCCAAGAGTATGTATTTCAAGAGGAATTATGTGAAGTATCCAAGAAGAAAGACAAGGAGACAGCTGACAATCCTGAAATGGCAGTTAACTTGGAACACCAGTTTGCAGTTTTAGAGCTTGAGAGGCCAGTCACATGTCCAAATTCAAGCCTTGTGATTGGTTCCCGTCTAGATGCAGACATCCATTTGAACACTTGCCGTCTTGCCTTTCATGGAAAATTCCTGGAAATGTTTACAGACAAGAATTACACTGAAACCATGTTGCCAAGATTACAGATTTTCAAGACAAAAAGTCGTGTTGGCGAAGTCGAAAGGGTGGTTGATGAATATTCTTTGGTTGGAAAAGGATTGTTTAAAAAGGAGACGAACATGGCATTATTTTCCAACCTCAAAGTGAGGCTCTCCACTGGTGAGGCTGGGGTGATTGAGGGAAGCTTTGGGCAAAGCGGGAAGTTTAAAGTCCGTATCCCTGGGGGTCTCTCACCAGAGAGTTTTAGTATGATGAATGCGGGGCAACGCAAGAAGGGCAAAGGTAGAGGTGTGGATGAGGGTGAAAAGATGACATCCGTGAAAATAATCTTAGATTTTAAGAGATATATATTTGATCCAGAAAAGAAAATGATACAAAAGTAATTTGTAATATCTTAATAAATTTAAATAAAAATATCCAATGATAACATATTCTCAGCAGTTTTTGCTTTTTCTGCCCTGCCCATGCGCGGTATAACTTATAAGGATCAACTCTCAATTTCCTCACATGAAGTTTCGCTTTGAAAGATGCCGAATCGCTTTCTTTCTGTAAAAACCTGTGGGCTCGTCTTTCTCCGAATTTCCCCGTCAAACTGTATCAAATTCTAATCATTTTTGTTTTTTTTCTAAATGTTATAACAAAATTATAGGAAAATCTCAACAGTTACAGTAAATGGATGGATTTATGTTTTTTGGCGGTGTTGGAAGTCTAGCAATAGCTGGACTTTGTTATTCTGCCTACAGAAATATACAAGATGCCGCAAGTCACCTCAAGGTATTGATGCACATCAATGAAGTCATCAGATCGAAATATTTTATTCATTTAATTAACTATTTTCTTCTATTTTATGTTAGATTTAATAATAGCATTATCACTTTTTAACTGGAGAGGTCCAGTTAGGGGCTTGTTGATCCAGTATTACTACAGGAGGAAACCTAAACTAAACTAACTTTATTTACACAGTACACTGGATAGCTCTATCAGTTCTAAACTGTTTTAATTGTTCCAATGAAATATATCTTCTTCATAATTAGAACACAGAATCACTAGATGTTGGTAAAGCTCTGTTAAAGAAAATTGAAAAAGCTCCTAACCATACGCTGGATTATGTTGCAATCCGTGGTAATGCAAAAGCTCTTGAGTCAACATTACCAACCAGCAATGTGCCGTCAGCCAAGGTTCTAATTCAGAAATTAACTTTATATGAACATAAAGTAGAGTGGGTAAAATCATCAAAACTATGGTAAGTAAACCTAAATTAAACTTCTTCATTGGTATATTTTGTGTGTAACACCAAGTAACACCACAGGAAGGGAGAGTAACTTGCATTACCTAACACACTTGGCTGGCATCATTTTATCATTGATAAGGGTAATTGTCTATGTTCATTGTTCTGCTAGGTTCAGTAATGCAATGGTCATTCAATTTTTAGGCATGACACAACACGTACCATCAGCTCAGTTGTGAATCATGTTCCCTTTTCGTTGAACGCTTCAAGACACAGTGTGACTATAGATGAACCACTTTCTGCATCCGGTTTAGAGTTAAACAGAATCTATAGCAAATATGAACCTGTTGACCCACGTTCAATCTCAACAAGTCTTGTCCAATGGGTCAGCGGTGAGAAGACTAAAGGAATCCAAACAATTGAGGACGGTTTGCTTGAAGGAACCTCGCTCACTGCTGTAGGGAAAATTACACTTCGAAATGGTATTTTAAAAATGAGACCTCCAGAGAATGAAGAATACATTCTAAGCAAACTACCGCTGGATGGAATCATACGGGAGAAGACAAAATCTCTTCGTATATGGAAATATGTTACAATGAGCTTCGCATTTGCAGGTGGGGTGTTGCTCTTAATCTGGTTTTATCGGTGGTGGAGAAAAAGAAGGAGAAGGTGGCAGGCAGCACCACAGGCAGCACCACGTAGAGACGACATGGATAGGGTCATTCATCTAGTGCTAAGTGGTGGAGAGACGTCTGAAGCTGGAGAGGGACAGTCTTGTGTGATTTGTCTGACAAGACCTCGGAATGTTGTAATTTTAGATTGCGGACATATATGTGCATGTAGAGAATGTTTACGTCAGGTGAACAACTGTCCCATTTGTAGAGCAGAAATTGTGCGACTTGTGCCAACTTATCAGAGTTGACATAATTTTTCTATGTACAGATATTTTTGAGAGAAATAAAATTCACATGATATAATCATCTCTCTTGATTATTTTTTCATGCCTTTTAAATTGCAAGTTGCAATTCCAATCTCAAGTTTAGGGTTGTGGAACAGGGATGTGTGCAAAGACACCACCTGACTTGAGGTTGGTCATGTTCTGGATTTAAAATGATCAATATTAGAAAAAGCACCTGGATATTGAAGAGAGGTTTAAAAGTGTTTGCTTTTTATAGTTCCCCAACTACAAAAGCACTTTGTAACCCAAGTGTTATTAATTGAAATTAAAAATAAATTAGAGGGCACGTGATCAGCTCAATCAACCAGTTCCGCGTGGCGTCTTCATTTAAACCCTGGGAGCGAGTTGGTCTGTTGGTGGCCAGAGATACGTTATGTTCCGTGCGATATAATGTCTCGATGTCAATCGTTATCGAAAGTTTCACAAATCATAAAAATATTCGTGTGTTTTGCTCAATTTTTTCTTTATGACGGAAAACTGTTGCCTATGCTTCAAGGAATTATCAAACGCGGACTTCCATCGCTTGAATTCCATCGCTGAAATTCGGAATGAAATTGTAGTGTTTTTCGCCGAAACACTTTTGACCCATGAGAGCAGATTATGCAAAACATGCACGGAGCTTGTTCAAGAAAGAATAGAAATCAAAGAGAAAATTCGTGTGGCAAACGAAGCCATCCAGTCCGTGTATTTGAGGTCATATGTATTCTTAAACTGTAAACCTAAGAACTATGAGAATGAAAAACGATTTATGGAGACTTTTCTGAATCTTTCGAGATGCACGTGGGACGAGTGTGGCGATGATGCAAAATCCGTCAAAAAGAGTGACTTTTCTTCGTTTCAAAGTGACAGTAGCATCACGATAGAGCCAGTTTTGAAGAATCAATACAAGGAACTACAAGATGTGATGTATAAACTGGAGGATGAACTGTTGGGGGATAGCACATCTGATGAAGAAGAAAATATGTTAGTGCATTGTATTTTGATATGTTTTTCAGAGAGATATCCGGTATTTTTCGCGTAAATCCGCTAAATCGCGCACCTTGAACTTTGAACTTGTATCCTCCTGAGTGCTCAACGGCGTTCGAATAAGATGAGAATGGCACTAGGATAAATTTTATTGATTGTAGTCTTGTAGATCGTCGCAATAATTTAATATTTTCCGTTTTATAGTGATCGCTGTGGTTTGTGCTTGAAAACATTGTCGAATGCAGATGGTTTCAACATAAGCGACGATATCCGTAGTGAACTGAATACTATAGTTCTTTTTATGCTTGATACACCTCTGACCAGTGACAGCAAACTATGCAAATCATGTTTTAAACACGTGGAGGAAAGAATGGAAATCAGAGCGAAACTTCACGATGCTGACCAACGCATTAGAGAGATCTATTATAAAGCCCTACTTGAACGAGCCCGTTCAAACAGAATGTTGGATAGCGGACGAGTCGGGAAGAGTTGTTGCGACAAACACAAGCGAGCTGCGGCGTTGTCCGATAGATGTGCGGCGGCAACTGTAAACTCCGCTGGATGTACTGTTGTAAAGCGCCGAGGATCGTTTAAACACGATGAATGCAATACAGAAGAAGGCTATTCGTCTATGTATAAGCTGGAGAAAGACTTATGGGATGATGACGATAAATCTGATAAGGAAAATATGTGAGTATAATATTTTGTTATTGTATATTTTGGAGGGAAATATTCCGTATTTTGCGCGCCAAGTGCCGCGCATGCTCCGTAGTCGATCTGTGCGGAACTGACGGCAGCCTGGGGATAGCACATTTACGAATATAACGAAAGCCGTATAAAATTTTAAAAAAGAATTCGTTTTGATAGATTTTGAGTCTATGTGACAGATAAGGACCACTTTTATGCGTGGTATTTTATAGAAAAAAAAAAAAGATGATTTTCTATTTGCGGGGCCGCCTTTTGGGTTTCTAAAAAGTGCCTGCTCCTGGAGAGGCTCGAACTCTCGACCTTCGCATTTCACGGCATATATGGCGAGCCAAAGCCACGCCCATACTGCATATAAGTACGACGCGCTAACCGACTGTGCCACAGGAGCTGGACGTCTAATGAGGGAGAATTTATCGTAGATAAACGTACACGTAGGCCGAGGCTTACGTAATCACTTCGTCCATCTCGTGATCTCAATGCATGATATTTTCAAACACTTTCGAATTAAAATTTGTGATAACAAAGTTAGAAAACCTCAATAAATAACATTCGCTGAAACCAGATTTTGTTAGAACTTTTGATAGTGAACTCGTATCACTTTCCCTGACTTGTTAATTTTACGTAATATTTGGGATTCTTTACTATATAAAGCTTTTCATTGTCATATTCTCAGCTTGAGTGAAGTAAAAAATTATATAACGAATTCGCAATTTATGGCATTTTTAGTATATAACAGTCAGAAATTTAAATAATAGGGAACGGCTAATTGTAGTGTATATGTATTTGTTGTAGTAGAGCGTATAGTTTTCATTTTATCTCGAAATTTCGGGGTAAAAAAGTAAATATTTTCCTTGATATTGCTTCGTTGGCACAAAAAAGCGCGGGGGCCTTGTAGCAAACACGTGACCCAGATAATAAAACTCATGAGGAAGAAAGATAATTCTTAAAACTAAAACAAAATTTACCAAGAGCATGTTGTTTGAAAGTTGTTTGGTGGCTTCAAAATATGATGTCCTGGCTCGACGATGGTGCAGGGCCCGATTCGGACCTCTTATCTCTTGCTTTGGGGGAAAGCGGGCTTGATTTAGCCTCTCATGGCCAACTGGAGAGTTCTGAACGAAGTGAAACTGGGTTATCAGACTCTGGTATGGCTGGTGCTTCATTGTCGCTAGAGTCGACCTCGACTCCGAACGATCTATTAAACTGGGCATTTTTGTTATCAAACTCAAATAGTCAGAACTTAGCGTCAACTCAAGACGACTTTTCAAGCCTTTTAGAACCTTTTAACGAGTTTAGACCGGCGAGTGAAGCCACTACTAACAATAAAACGTCAAAGCCTTCATTTTCCAAAGACTTACAGGATCAATTAGACCTCTATTTGGGTCCAGGGGATTTTAATACAACACAGACTACAAACAGGGCTATTTCTGCCTTCGATTCTACGTTAAAAGATCTTCTTTCTACGGACAATGGTTTTTCCTCAAACAGTTTGACTAAAAAGGCTGTCAATGGTTTAAATGTAAACATAAAAGACCCGACAAGGAAGTACGTTATGAACGTATTACGTTCAAAATAATTTGGTTTTTATAGTGTTAGTTCTCTAGTTGTTTAGTATACATGCAGTTTTTCTCACGGTGGGTATTTCGCTTTTGAAGTGAACTCATGACACTATCTGTTATATTAAATGTCATAAATTTTTATGCAAATTGTTCTCTGAAATTATGTCATTCTTTCTGTGAGAATAGTTCCTTGTATGTTTTGTACAAGGAAGGTCTAAAATTGAAACTGTAGAAGCTGTGAGTTTGGATTACAGCTAGTGTGTTTTTTTTCGCAAAAAACGACGGTATGGTTTGCAATGTTCAATGGTTAAAAAATGACCGGAAAGTTACAAAATCGCTGTCTTTAATAACTGTGACTGATCACATCTTGTAATCCAAAACACGTTGCCAAAGCAAACAATAAATAATCTGTATAGGCTCTGTTACAACAGCAAACTTATTTGTGTCTGAAAATCTGTATGGGTAAAATTAAGCCATATTTTTAATATTGTGCTGATGTCAGCATTATTTTTACCATAGTTGGCATTACAAAGCATAATTCTTGGAATGAAGTTTCCCATTGTAGTGTTTACACTTTACACAATTTGGAGAATTGCCAAGTATAATTTAAGAGGTCTTTTTCAATTAATAATTTGGAATAATCACAAAGTAAGGTTGCATGTGAAATCTTACCGAATATTTTTAGGGATGTGGTTTCAAAACTTTGGGCGACAGAAGATTTAAAGCTTAAAGATGTCACAGAGGTTTGTGGTTGTGATTTTAAACTATATATCAGTATTTGAAACCAGGTTCCTAATCAGAGATGTGTATCTTAGTCAGTTTGCGATATTTCGTAGGGTCATCTCCAGTCAAAAGAAGAAGATGAAGAGGTAGACGAAGATGATGAAGATCTTGGATATTCTGATACGTATGCTGAATACTGGCCTAGCAAATGTAAGTTGTATACATCTACAGTATATTCTGGTGGAAGTCTATTTCAACCTAGTAACCAAATTACCAAAATGAATTCAAGCTTAATCTATAGCTAACACAATATGTCTAATTTTCCAGTACGGATTGGAAAAAGGCATCCAGATCCTGTTGTTGAGACAAGGTAAGGTTCATCTGGTAGTTGTTTTCCAAATTACAAGTGAAACATTTAATGCAAATATCTCTTCTTTTTTGTTTTCAGTTCCTTGTCGAGTGTAGCTCCACCTGATGTCTGGTATAAGCTTGCAATTCCAAATGAGGTTATCGACAAACACTTGCTATCTGCTTTGCAACTTGAAGCAATTGTTTACGCCTGTCAGAGACATGAAATGTTACTTGGAGATGGTTCAAGAGCTGGCTTCTTGATAGGTGAGTACCAGTTGAATAACCATTTAGATTATAGTCGATCCCTGATTAAGATCCAAGAAGTAACTACTTCTCATATACTTGATATAACTTCCTTGAAATCCATTCTGTCTTAAAATTGTATTTGAAATCTGTAGGTGATGGTGCTGGTGTTGGAAAAGGTCGTACTGTTGCTGGTATAATCAGTGAAAACTATCTACTTGGACGAAAAAGAGCTCTATGGTAAGAAGATTGCTTTAATGCAATTGTTGGGACATAAACTTTGCTCTAGGATAGACCTATTAATTTTCTTCTTTCCCATTTCAGGTTGAGTGTATCAAATGATTTGAGATTAGACGCCATTCGGTAGGACTTTGTTCTTCGTATTTTCATCCTTGAGGATCCACTTTCCATGTTTATTGGCTTGTTTATAACATACTTCCTCGCTGTATACCCTACTACCCTAGGCGCT